TTAAAATCAAAATTTATCTAAAATTTATTAAATTTAAATCACATATATCAAATTTAAACTAAATTTTGACTACATTTTTTGTTGTTATCAGAAAATTTTACGGGTCCCTAATACGTATAAAAAAATATATTTAGTGTGAGTTGGGACCGAGAAAGGCATTTAAGGGTTGAATTTAGAGAGATGGCACTTAGGGAGACTGTATTTAGGAAGGCTGCACTCAGGGAGGCTTGACTGTATTATGACTATAAACCCGGACGCGAATTAAAACTCAATCGGCCAATGACAACTTGTGTGAAGGATAACCGGTTTTTTTTTGTTTTTTTTACCTTTATCATTGTTGATTATGGCGTTTATGGATGAAGCTGAATTACTGTATCTAATTGGTTAATTTCAACTTCAGTGTCGCTGTGAAATTTATTCTGTTTTAAATCATTTGCCATCCCTAGGTAACCGGATATTGGTCTTACCCCAGAATCCCGACAGCCAAAACCCTGACAGTAAAAATCCTGACACCAAAATCCCAACATTACTAAAATCCCGACACCCAAAATCCCGACATCAAAATCTCGACACTACCAAAATTCTTAGTAGGTAGTACTGTTAGGATATTAGTAGTGTCGGGATTTTGATGTAGGGATTTTGGGTGTCGAGGTTTTAGTAATAGTAATGCCAGAACTCATTACCGTTACAATGTTAAATTGTGGCTATAACGACAAGATTGAAAATCTTTTTTTTAAAATATCATCAATATTTTTGTCATGGCTGTGTACAATGCAAAAAAAAAATAAGTTGTAAGTTATAAATTACTTCTTATTGGACGGTGATACGTAATAAGCACGTCCAAATCAAGTTATATCCAACTTTAAGTTGCATGCATGATATTTGTGTATTCATGTAATTGAACACCTGATTATAGGTTTTCCGACCTACTAAACTAAATCAGATATCGTTAGATTTGCCAGCAGACCATTTCAATATGTTGGAAAGTGATAATATAGAGTTAGTTGATAAAAAAGATGTAATAAATGAAAAAATTAAAATTATTGAAAATAGTGATGAAGCAAAGGTCTGTCTTTATTTGTATTTTGAAAAAGGACCAATAATTGCGCCAAGAGGCCAAGGGGCCTAATATTACATTTAAATAATTCCTCAGTCTAACTTTTTTATCCCGCAAACTTTAATTTACCCTTACGATTAGAAAGAACGGACGATCAAAAACCTTCGAATAACGCCTTCATCACCTTCAGAACAACGTGACGAGCTGTCACAGTTCATAGCACGTAAAGAACGTAAAATCTCGGAGCTCCGCGAAGAATTGAAACGTCATGAAGAAGAATTACTATTATTAAAAAAACAATGGCAAACAGTTGTCTCCAAGGACATAGATTCTGAAAATACTTCATCCTCAGTATTTTCGTTTCAGTCGAACACTTCTAATAATGAAGTTTCCACGTTCATGAATGGATTAGGGAAAGGGATTCATAGTGTTATTGGTGGTATACATAATTTGAAGGAAAGCGAAGCGTAAGCCATAATTTCTGTTGATAGATGCATATATATGAAGTTTGTTAAATTGAGTCATATTGATTAAATTTCAGAACACGTGAAAAGTTATCGCAGATTAAAACAGCCGTATCGGAGGTTGCAAATATTCGGTCGTAAGTATTAATCGCTTTATTAGTATTAATATTTATCAAATATCATCGTTACTCTGAAGATCCTTTTTAAACAATAATTTATATTAAATAGAATTCAACAAACTCGACAAAAAACCGCAGATCTTACTTCTCAAGCATGGTCCAATATAAGCAAAGGAATCTCTTCCCTAGTTGATTACGAAGCGTATCTATCTTATCATAGTCATTTAGTTTTGAGTCAATGAAATTAAATTAAATCTAATATTAATATATTTTTTTCCCAGCATTAAAACTGCTCGCAAGAAATCCTATAAATCAGTTCCAACAACTGAAACATCGGAAATCCCAAATATCAATACTGCAATATCACCTACAACATCTCCACCTACAACGTCCCCGACTTCATCGATATCAAAAGATCTTATTTGGTCAGCTTTAAACTCCGAGTCTAATAGTGAACATAAACTACCAACTGATAAAGACGACTTCATCAAAGAAAAAAATCTTGATAATGAGAATATTGATGGTGTACTAGCGGGTTCACCAAAAGATGAATTTGAAGAAACATTGGTTTACGTTATCGGTGATGACTTGGGTGATTTTGTATAAACCATTTAATTAATATTTTTGTCATACATCACGCATGACTATGTGTTACCGATTCATGGTAGATAATTAATTACTTAATAAAATGTATAACAGAATATTGTAATTTATTAAACATAGGTTTAATTTATCCAATTTCATAAGACGTACGATTTTCATGTATGTAATAACACAACGTCTTTTATTATTATAATAAATGATATATAACTATATATTTTCTTATTAAAAGATGTCTATAATGTGTTCTTCAAATTATTTATAGTAGTACTGAAAATTTTGGCAATAATCAATTATAAAATTGATCAGATGTTAGACTAAATTTTTTAAAAATCTTAAGTGCTTGCAGGTATAATTTTTATATTAAAATTACTATAACTTTTATATAATACTGGAATGTCGAAAGTTTCTAACAATAAGTAAAAATGATAATAATATAGAATTTAGTAATTCACCATCGTAGCGATATATTTTCGTTATCCGACAAACTCATATGATCATGGCGCAGTTTTTGCACGTTATTTTTTAATGTATTATGACGTAATGCCAAATA